TGAAAAAAAATATGGGAAAAAGAAAAAGGGAATGAAAATGAACAGGAGAGAAGAAAGAAAAAGGAGATGAGAGTAAGAGAGGAGAGAACAAAAGGAAAAGAAAAAAATCCCAAATACAAAAATAACTACCAAATACAGAAGAAAACAAGATGATATCCAACCAGACAGGAGAGGGATAGCCAATCAGACAAACAAGGGAGAATGAAAGCAGCAAAATACCTCTGGTGCTTACAGTTCTGTGATAGTGTCCATATTTAATCCCAGAAATATGTTGGGTATGGAGCTAATCTTGGCCTCTGGATGTGGGGCCTGGGACTGGACTTCTGCTGGTGGAGTTCTCTGGAGTCCAACCACTGGCTCCTCACGGCTGCTTCAGACACTTCCACGCTGCTGGTCTCCCCAACTGCCCTGACCTCCAAAAGGTGTGTGTGCACCCATGCACCTGGGACAAGGCTGTTGTCCTGTGTCTCAGGTCTTGGGATTCCTGTCAGTCTACTCAACAAAAGTGTGTGTCCCTGCACTCCTCTCAAAGACCCTGCTTTCCCTGAGACAATGGAGGAAGCATAGAGACAGACTCACTTTCCTCTCACAGGCCCCATGTCCCAGATGGAATGGAGGAAGTGCCAAGTGCAGACTTACTCTCCTCTAGCAGGCCCCCCTTGTAATGTTCTTGACTTTCATCTTCTTGCACTGTCTGTGCTCTCTGGCCAAGCTCAGCGTCCCATCATAATTCAACTGTGCCTTCCATTCCTTCTTTCTCTCTATTCCTGCATTGCAGTAGGGGCTCATCACACTGAAAATCTCAAAATCATACACTCTGCAGGAAGGCCATGCCCTGACTTGAGGAGGGGAAGAAAGATGAGGAACAGTTCACCTGTGTTTTAAAACAAGGCAAAGTCTGTGTTAATAACCCAGAGTTCATCCTTCTACGCAGCACATACATGAATCAAAACATCACACTGTACCACATATGTGCAAATATTATATTGCACTTAAATTAATAATAATAACAAAACCACAAGGTCAGAGAAAAGTTGATGTTTTCTGCTACATAGAAAACTGACTTTCTTATTTCTTTCTAATTTATTGACCCTACTGCCTCTACTCCAGCTTGTGAGAAGACAGCATAATCAAATTAGTTGTAAAACAACAGAAATGTGTGCTATGTATCCTCCCACACACTTCTTTTTCTGTCTCCGTGAAGGTTATCAAACCTTGGTTCCAGGTTCTACCTCCCAGTTTCCTGTGGACACATGCTGTCACAGGAAAATTTGAGGCTTGACTACTGAGATAATTATTCATTCAGTGTTTTGGGCTCTGTTCAAGCAAGAGCATAGTGTGGAAGTCTGGATTTGGTGGACAGGAGCAGCAGACCTCCAGATGTGAGGGAGGAACCTGCTTCTCCTCCTGTCCCCGTGACAGAAACATGAGCAGTCAGACTTCGCTGTAAGAAGGCAAGTAACAGAATTGAGGCAGGACGATTTTTGTCAGTGAAGTGTTGATATATATCCAGCAGCTACACCAAGTCTTGCTGGTTGGATTGCTGGGTAAAATACAGATGCCAGTTAAATTAGAATTGCAAATAACCAGTGCATCCATATGTTAGTCTAAGTATAGAATATTTAAGCTGAAATTTATGTATTATTTACCTGGAATTCAAATTTCACTGAGCAACTTCAGTTTCTGTGTGTTGAATCTGGCAGCCTGGTTTATTAGCCCCTGTACTCGCACTGGCATCTGAGTCAGATGTGCTTCCCACTGCATGGAGCTCATGAAGCCTGGCTGGGGTTGACAGCGGTGGGTTGGCCAACAGACCTTGTTCAACAGACGGTCCTTACTTGCATCTTTTCCCCTCTGCCTCTACCTGCTGGTCCTTCTTGAGCTCACCTGCTCCCACCCCACACCACTCACATTCTCTTGTCCTCAATCAAGGAAGGGATGGAACCTATATTATTCCCTTTTTCATTTTATAATGAAATACCTGAGACAGGTTACTTTACAAAGAAAGGGGTTTTGGAGGTTGGAAGTGCAAACAGCATGTTACAATTTTCAGGGCCTCATTTTGTAGCATAATATCATGGCAGGAGAACATGTGTATCTCTGTGTCTATATCACGTTTCTCCTTCTTATAAAGCCAGGACTTGATGAACAGGTCTCCTTCTTGCTATGTCCAGTGCAGCTCTCAAAATTCTCTCAGGGTGAAGGATGGTAGAAGATGAAGAAATAAAGACAAGAGTCAGAAAACAGAAAGCTGAGGTCAGGTGGAGTCCTCTCTCTGAATGGGAGAAAGGAACTGCTCAAGGACTGCAGCGTGTTTATTTATACACTTGGCAGGTTGATGTCACGTGACACCCCTCTGCCTAGCAACCTCTTTGCTTGGATTGCCTCAGGCTTTCTGTGTTCTTGGAGCTGGCACAGCTTGTTCACATGGCTTGCCTCAGGTGGGCTGTTCAATTCCTGCTCTTTATCCTCTTCTCAGTCTCCAGGATCTGCTATTTCCTCATCTCAGTCAGCTCTGCCTGCTTCACAGCCCCTGTAGACTCAGTGGACCAAATCCACTCATTTGTGGTCTCCTGAGGCTGCTCATCTTTCTCTTCTCTGAATGCACCCCCACAGCCAATCCTGAGAGTCTCACATAGGAGAAAGCAGGAGTAAAGACTCTGAGGGGTGGATAGTTGCTGGGCTACCCTGGGTTAGAATCTAGCCCCTCCACTCACCAGGCTTGTGGACAGTTACTTAGGTTCTCTGGATGTGAATTCTTTCATTGGAAACAGAGTGAGCTATCAGGACCTACTTCAGAGAGTGGCTGGGGGATTGAAGGAGTTAGCACCTGGAATGTGCTCAGGACAGGGCCTGGCACATCCTACACACTGCAGTGTGGTGCACAGCAGGCCCTCGGGGACTCTATGTGGGGATCTGAATCTTGGTTCCATTTGCTAATTGTGCAGCATTGGGAAGGCTGCTGGCATTATGTGTCTCTGTTTCCCCATCTAAAAACCAGGAATAATACCTGGCTTAGAGTGTTATTAGCGTTAGATGAGTAGGTATTTGGACTGTTCAGGGTAGAGTACCAAATGCCCAGAAAATACTGTTGTTTTTACAGTTATCACCCTCCAGACTCTTTAATCTTTCTATTTCTCCATCCCAGCAACTTCCACATTCTGTTGGTTCTATCTCCTGCCCCTCTTACCTCACCTACACCCTCCCTAGCCTCACTTACCCCCCATCCCTTTTCAAGTCCACAATTCCCAAACCCCTGAAATAAAATATGAATTCTCACTGGGACCCTCCTGGACCCTCTAGCATCTTCTGTACTGGGTGGAGCTCAAGCTCCTTCACATGGCCTCAGAGCACCTTCCCCTTGGCTGGCCGCTGCCGACCTCCCCACCTCTGTCCTTTACTGTCTCGCATGGGATCCGTGTTTCATCCTTGAACTCATGGTCTTCCTGCCAGGGCCCCTCCTATGGGCACCCTCCCCAGCCTGCCTCCAGCGTTTGCCCCTCACACCCTGCCTTCCTTCCCCTGAGACACAGCCAAGACTTTCATGTCTTCCATTCCTCTCTGGGAATAAGAAGCCTCCTTCAGAAGCTCCTGGGAGCAGCAACCAGGCCCACTCTTAGCACTGCACATTGCTCTTCATTTGTTTGTTTTGATTTGAGATTGTCACTTCTATGGACACGGAAATTGTGGGTCCTTAGTTTGGCATCTTCCCAGGTAGTAGTACCTGGCTGCCTACGCAGGTGGCTTCATTTAATGGAATGGCACAAGTGTATTGACATCACACTTGGTTGAAATTTTGCCTTTAAACTATCTTGATGGTCTCTGAAACCACGGTTTTATTTGTAGAGGAGTTCGGATGGAGCTGGAAGCTGGAAGCTGGAGCTACCAGTTCAGACAGAGCTGGCCAGGAAAGTTGGTAACTGATACCTCTCTTTGGAATTATCTAGTGGGACTTGCTACAAAAATGAATGTCCTAGCTAAGAAAGTGGCTCACAACTTTTAAAAAATTTATATTTACAGTGTTCCAGCCTAGAGGGTTATTTTGAATCTGCCTCTTATTTATTTATTCTTAGCCAAATGGGCAGTTCAAGCCATCTAGGCTGGGCTCCAGACCAAGAGGGGCCACAGCACCATCTACACTTCTGTATTTCAACTGGATTCAGTTACTCTCTAGGGCAGTCTTTCTTCCCGATGCCTGTAGGGATAAAATTAAGATAATAGCTGACACATATTCAAGTATTCACCATACACTAGGCTCTGGCCTCCTAAGACTTCATATATAACTGTTTAATATCTCATAACAACTCAACAGAGCAGAGATTTCTGTCTGGTTTTTGCTTTTGTTTTTTGAGGTGCAAGGATTTAAACCCAGGCCTTCACACTGAGCTACATCCCCAGCCATTTTTCTAAAAATTTAAGTTAGGGTCTTGTGAAGATGCCCAGGCTGGCCTTGACCTTTGTAATTCTCCTGCCTCAGCCTCCTGAGTAGCTGGGATTATAGGTGTGTGCTGCCCAACCTGGCTGTCTTTGTTTTATAATTAATGTTTCTATAGCACCTAGAACCAAGCCTTGGAAAGTGATAACTCATTGCTATTTGTTGAATAAGTGAATGGGTGAATGACACTTCACAGACTGAGGAATTTACTGAGATCCTGTCCCATGTAAATGAAGTTCAGGATAGTTCAGTACCTTGGACATCCTTCATCCAGGGAATGCTGCTTTTTAAAATAGAATTCTAATGTGTTATCACCAAAAAGCCTTATTTGGTCTTGTCATGCAAAATAAACTTTTGTAAATCCAATCCTGCCGTCTCACTGACTTTGCTGGCTTCAGAAATGCTCTGTCTGTGTTCCCTATGAATCTTATCATGATGGTGTGTTCTAATACTTACTTTTTCTTTACCTGTAACTTGGGTGGGTGTAGTTTGTAAACAGGTAACTAAAGGCATCACCTGCTAAGTAGACATGTTTAGAAATGCCACAAAAATCTTTATTTCCTCATATTTTTTTCTGAGCCACTCTGGGCTTTCTTACGTCAGATTTTATTAAGACATACTTCTCTTGAATTGTGACACATGCAGAGCATGTAAAGCTTCTCAGACTGCCTTTTCAAGCAGACCTAAGAGAACAGCAAGGAACAAGAGCTGCCAGATGTGCCTCTTGATCTGGTGGATGAGGGCTGTCCCGTAGCAGGGTCCTGCGCCTGGTAGGTGACGTTCAATCACACACAAGTATCACAGTGAACTGTCGTCCAGCCTCTGCAAAGAAAAATGCATGATTCTTTTCTAACTGAATATTTGTTTCTTATTTCCTACCCATTTCCAACCTTAGGGGATGGATAAGGATATGTGCAAGCATGTGTGTATGTGTGTGTGTGTGTGTGTGTGTG